CCAACAACGGTGAAACTGACGTTCTTGTGGATAAGCGTGAAGAGCTTCGTCACGTCCTTTTCCAGAATCTTGAACGAGTCCCAGATGTGGGGTTGCGAGACGTAAGTGCAGTTTGTCGAGGGATTCTCGAAGTGAAAGCCCTCGCGAGGAGGGTCTGAGGGGGATGGAGGGATGAGGCCATCGCCCGTGCAGGGGTGGTCTTTATTAGGATCATTGGGGTCGATGAGGCCGGTGCCGTTGCAGTGGGGGTCGTCTAGAGGTTGAGAGTCTGTAGGAGAGGGGGCGAGAAGGGTTTGATCATTGTTGGTGTTGATGTTACGGTTGGGGAGGGTAAGGGTGAGTGTTAGGGCTGAGAGAAGGAAGATTATGAGGATGAGGTGCATTGGTGTTATATCGGATTAATATACTAGTTTGATGTTTATAGTTTTGATGCATGACACATAGTGCAATGTATGTTTCTATTGAAGTTTTATGTATTGGTCTAATCAAGTCTCCGAACGCATAATTTGCCGGGTATCACGGTCATGTATGCTGCAAAAATGAGCCGGTGCTGCATTGGAAAGCTCTGTGGTTAGTTCAGCAGACTGTCCGCAGCTGGTTGGCCCCTCTGGTTACAGTTGCACATTAGTCTGGGATGTGTGTGAGCAATGCGACGACTCAATTGGTTGTCAAGTAATAAACATCTTCCTTGTGCTGACTAGCGGTGTAACACTCGGCGCCAACTTGCAATTTATATACCATCACCTTCTACTATCCAGCAGTCGTGGTTGTATACAATGAGCTGGAATAACCCCAGCATTCTTAATTGTCGTCCGGGGATAGACTATTTATATTAGTCAAGAATATGCCGGAAAGAGAGAATGAAGCTATCAGTTATGTAAAAGTTAGTCACCAAGATCTGCCATACTTGGGGTTATCAGAACCACGAAACCCACAAAGTGGAGAGACTTACATCAATAGTGAGTCATGGCGAGTGCTCAGTGGAAGGGAAGGGAGAGCCCGCCCCCTGTTTGGGGCAGCCATGGAATGGCTGGGCAGCTGTTCCTGTTGTTGAGCTGCACTAATCCTTACTGTTCAGAGGAACTGGGGTTCATTATTGAAGAAAAAATGGATCCATCAAGTGAAGGGCGCGAGAATCGGCGGAAGAGTGAGTCAAGGGAATGAATAAAACCCTGCCAAAGTTGGCCTCCCCGATAGCGGACTGTCGAATGGCCGCCCTCCGATTGGCCGGACACGCACCACCAAGTCGGTGAGTGAGGAAAGCACGTGCCACCCGACCGGGCCGGCACACTTTTTCCCTTCTTTTTTAATCTCTTGGTCCCTCCCTCTCTTTCTCTCCCTTTCCTTTCTTCTCCGTATCCCAGATTACTCCCCCCAGAATCATCAACGCACTTCCATGTCTAACTAATTAGACCCCCTCCCATCTCCAATCAATCTTGTATACCAATCCTCAGTGACTGGTAACAGCACAGTCGCGCTTATGCGTTTGGCACCTTCCGTCTTCACTTCTCAGGTACGTTGTCTACCACAGCACTATGGGTTCCCCATGGCTACTCCGCATTCCCCTCCCCGCCACTATCGTCACTCGTCATGGCTATCCCATCATCGAATTGAAAGGCATTGATAGAATACTGACATGATATCTGTAGGACTACATCTCGGATCACCTCTGGAAAGCTTCCGGAAACTTCTGAATCCACTTCACACAACCCGCCGTATTCTTCTTTCACATCAAATAAATCCTATCACAATGTTCGCTCGTGTGTTCAAGGCCATGCCCGCCAGGGCCCCTGCCTTCACTTCCGTGAATGCTTCTATCCAGTCCCGCTTCATGGCTACCGTCCGTCAGGGACGTCCCGCCACTGAACGTGCCACTTTCACGATCCGAGATGGCCCCATCTTCCATGGAAAGTCCTTTGGAGCCCGTTCCAACATTTCCGGTGAAGCCGTCTTCACCACCTCTCTGGTCGGATACCCCGAGTCCTTGACCGACCCCTCCTACCGTGGTCAGATCCTGGTCTTCACCCAGCCTCTGATCGGTAACTACGGTGTCCCCTCTGCCGAGAGGGACCAGCACGGTCTGCTCAAGTACTTTGAGTCTCCCAACCTCCAGGCCGCTGGTGTCGTCGTGGCCGATGTGGCTGAGCAGTACAGCCACTGGACCGCCGTCGAGAGTCTGGGTGAATGGTGTGCCCGTGAGGGTGTGCCCGCCATCTCCGGCGTCGACACTCGTGCCATTGTCACCTACCTCCGTGAGCAGGGTTCTTCCCTCGCTCGTATCACCGTCGGTGAGGAGTACGACGCTGACCAGGATGAGGCCTTCGTCGACCCTGAGCAGATCCACTTGGTCCGCCAGGTCAGCACCAAGGCTCCTTTCCACGTCAGCGCCGCCGACCCCCAGTGCCACGTCGCTGTGCTCGACTGCGGTGTCAAGGAGAACATCCTGCGTAGCTTGGTCAGCCGCGGAGCCAGCATCACTGTGTTCCCCTTCGACTACCCCATCCACAAGGTCGCCCACCACTTCGATGGTGTCTTCATCTCCAACGGCCCCGGTGACCCGACTCACTGTCAGGACACCGTCTACCACCTCCGTCGCCTGATGGAGACTTCCCAGGTGCCCATCTTCGGTATCTGTCTGGGTCACCAGCTCCTGGCTCTGGCCAACGGTGCTCGCACCATCAAGCTCAAGTATGGTAACCGTGCCCACAACATCCCGGCTCTGGACACCACTACTGGCCGCTGCCACATCACCAGCCAGAACCACGGTTACGCCGTGGATGCTTCCACCCTGCCTTCCGACTGGAAGCCCTACTTTGTCAACTTGAACGATTCTAGCAACGAGGGTATGATCCACAAGACTCGTCCCATCTTCAGCACCCAGTTCCACCCCGAGGCCAAGGGCGGTCCCCTGGACTCCTCTTACCTCTTCGACATCTACCTGGACAGCGTCGTCAAGTACAAGAACCACCAGCTGGCGTTCCACCCCAACCGGAACACCGTCCCCAGCCCTCTCTTGGTTGACCTCTTGGCCAAGGAGCGTGTGGGCGTCCAGCCTACCATTGGCATGCAGAACGTGGCCGCTGCCGCCGCTGCCGCTTAAAGGAATGTCATTTGGAACTGGAGTTTGGGTTTGGGTTTAGGTCGGAATATCTTTGGTTGTACATGATTCATTCGGTTTAGTTTGGGTACATTTCGGTTTAGGAATATATTTTTACTTCACACATATCTCCACTGTACTTTTCCACTCCATAGTAATGTAGATACTAAGCCGTATTCCCTCATATCTGAAGGATGAGAAAGTCCAATATGAGGTCCCGTGACATTAGTCATCCGTGATTAGACCAAGAGCGTGTAGAGTGAAGTGGTTTCCAAACGTGGTTACAGTCGTTGTGCCCATGCCTGCAGATGTTCACACGTAGTACTTGCATTCGTATCAACGTCCGATCCCTCAAGCAGATATGGAGATCTGTTTCAAACCAGCCTTGTGTCCGCAAGACCTCGTTGACGTCCACCTTCACTCCCCCTAAGTCAGATAAGACGAACCGGGATACAGACGCGTCCAACGCTTCTCGAAAATCAACCGCAAAGCCTAGCAAGCCACAGTACAGGCTGGTTGAAGACGTCGAAGACCTGCACAGATACTGCCCCGGAGGATACCATCCTCTAGAGCTCGGAGACGACCTAAATAAGGGTCGATATCGACTGGTTGACAAACTCGGGTATGGAGGATACTCGACTATATGGCTAGCCCGGGACCAACACCGGGCCAGATACGTGGCAGTCAAAGTAACTACTGCTGATGCTAGCACCTCTACACCTGAGGCTAGTCTTCTATCCTCTATGAGAAATCCACCTCTTGGACTAGGAAGTGAGATCACCCCACGACTCTTAGATGAATTCTGGATTGCCGGGCCCAATGGGAAGCATAGATGTATCGTTACTCCGCCAGCACGTATGAGCTTGTTTGATGCCAAAGAAGCATCGACGTTTGGTCTTTTTCACCTGGATGTTGCGCGATCAATCATTGCTCGGCTTATTCGTGGGGTCGCATTCCTTCACAGCCAAGATATTGTACATGGCGGTATGTAATATCTATGAATGTGTATAGCTGGATTGGTTCACTGACTCCAACAATCTCCCAAGACCTCCATCTCGGCAACATCCTAGTTCAATTTCCTAGGGAAGGTATCGATACCCTCTCCACCGCAGAGCTATACGAGAATTTCGGAGAGCCCTACTCCGAAGCCGTGATTCGTCTCGACAGCAAGCCATTATCATCAAATAATATACCCGCACGCGTGTTCATCCCCAGCTGGTACGGCGTTCGCAGTGACGATATTAATCTCGGGGAAGCGAAGATCCTCCTTAGTGATTTCGGCGAATCGTTCAACCCACACGAAACAGCCAGATTCTCTTCGAAGACTCTTCCTCTCCTTCAGTCACCAGAAGCTAGATTCTCTAACGAGCCGCTCTCCTTCCCCTCGGATGTTTGGACACTTGCCTGCACCATCTGGGAGGTCTTCGGCCAGCGGCCTTTATTTCAGGCCTTTTTCGCTACTCCTGACCGTGTCACTGCCGAGCAAGTAGAAACCCTCGGTGTTTTACCTCCTGAGTGGTGGGAGAAGTGGAGCGGACGACACGAATGGTTCAATGAAGAAGAGGGCGAGCTGGATTTGAAGAAAAAGTCTAGGGGTCCTGATGGTGTGCGTATGTCCTGGGATCAGAGGTTCGAGTACTGTGTACAGGAGCCTCGGGCTCAGGCGGGCCTGGAAATTGTGTCGGAGACTGAGAGGAGGGCGTTCAGGGCGATGCTTCTGTCGATGTTGGCCTTCCGGCCGAATGGAAGAGCGACAGCACAGCAGGTTTTGTGCTCGGATTGGATGAGGGATTGGGGCCAGCCGGCTCTCGATAGGGCTGGAGTAATATGAAACCTGAGATGGGGAGGGAAAAGGCTATGGTTGTTCTTAAGATTCAAGTAGTACTAATCTTTAAGTGCGTACATACTACTATTGTGATATATACATTATACTACAAAGGCAGAGATCTCACTCAGACATATATAGTACACAATATAGTCACTAGACCCACCCCCTCATCCAACTAACTGCTTCCCAGACACCTAGTACAGCGGCAGGTCATAAGCATCGAAATCATACACCCAAGTCTGGTACGACTCCTCATCAAAGACACAAGTCAATTCGGTCCCGTTGTTCACGAAGTAAGGTCTCAACGGCCAAGCACACAATTGCTGAACCTGACCATAGTTCTCACCCTCCTGGACCGTAGCATTCAAGCGATCCGGCTTCTGGCCGTTCTCCACCCAATCAAACAACGTAGGCAGCGTACTCTGCGGCCAGCCGCCATTGGGCTGGTCCGTGCTGTACGAGCAGTGTGCAGCACCAGGGACAAGGTACAGACGGTTCCAGTCGTTCAGGGCGTCGGAGGACTCGTTGAAGGAGAGGGAGGAGTACATCGTTTTGCGGACGGATTCGTGGTAGTGGACCGAGGAGCCGGTGGGGATACTGGGGTCCGATTCACCGTGGACGTGGATGATCTTGCCGCCGTTGGAGTGGAACGGGGTCAGGTCGGGCCAGGTAGTTTGCAGGACGTCTTCGTAGCGTTGCCAGCCCAGAGTCATCCATTTCGTCATGACATCGTAGGTGACGTTGTCAAGGGTGGAGAGGTTGTCGACGTCGTAGAGTTCGAGGAACTTGGCAACCCATTCGCCGCCGAGGGAGGTGATGTCCAGTTCCCAGGAGTCAGTGTCGGAGTTGTATTGCGTTTCGGCATCGTCGAAAGTCGCACTGGGCTGGTACCAGATGTAGGCACGCTTGCCGTCAAGGGTCTTCAGGCCATCGAGGATCTTGGCGGCGACGGCGGCGCCTTCTTTGGTGACGGTGCCATTTTGGGCTGGGGTGGTGTTGCTGGTGGAGAGACGTTTCTTGAGCACAGTGGTGGTGGTTTCGGCGGGGCAGTAGTAGGGGGCGCCGATGGTGGAGTTAACATTGAAATGCAGCTTGCAGAGGTCGGTGCGGGCGACGACCCCATCCTTCTTGCCGTCGAGGGCGTCGCAGGCGGCAATAGTCATGTTGTTGATCTTCTCAAGCTCGCAGGGCGGGGGATAGTAGCCCATGGTGTATTCGACGAGACCAGGGTAGAGGTGGTTGGGCTGCTGCTGGCCGTAGCGAATGGCAGGGGCGCCGATGACAGCGCCGTCCCATTCCTCGCCGAAGCGCTGGACTTGGGACCAGCCCTCGCGGCCACCTTCGGAGCAGCCCTGGTAGTAGGCGTAGAGTTTGGAGGAGCCGAGATCGAAGAAGTTCTTGGTGAAGGCCTTGCCGACGGCGCTGAGTTCATAGTGGGCTTGGTAGCCGAACATGTAGAGGGCCTGGCGGTCGATGGTACCGTTGGCCTTCAGGAAGACGGCGTCGAATTCAGTGGAAAAACTACCAAAACCACCGTCCGTCTGACCGGAGGCAGCGCCGTACATGACACCACCGGGTAGGTCAGAGCCGTCGCCGTTAATGGCATAGCCGAAACCACCAGTGGAGAGCCAGCGGTTCTTGAAGTCGGCTGGGGCAGGGAGCCAGAACTGCAGCAGGACTTGGTCGTCGAGGCCATCGTGGGTGTAGGCCAGGGTGACGTTACAGAAATCGAATGTGGAGGCAGGCCAGAAGGCCGTGGAGGCGGAGCTGTAGTTGTAGACCGGGTTGGCAGTGACAGAGGTGGTGTCCACGGTGATGCCCATGAGGGGGCTGCTGGGGGCCACGGAACGAGCGTAGGAGGATGTGCAGACATCCGCCAGGCTGGTTGCCTGAGCAAGGGAGAGTGTGGCCGTGCCGGCCAGAAGGCTCATCTTGGAGCGCATTGCGAGAGAGTGACTGAAAAGAGGGACTTTCAATGCGTGGAAAGAATGCGCTTGCCGGTGTGAACTACTGGGCAGATACCAGCTGGCGGTAGAGTGGATTTATATCATCCATGAAATCGACAATGGCCGTTGCCTGCTTGTAGTACTGTTATTATCGTCATGGTATCCCGCCAAGGCCATGCAATCGATGTATCTAGATTAAGGAGGACAAGCATCATCGACCCACTACGGACATCCGTAAACAAGGGAGAGACAGGAAAAGCCATTGGTCAAGGGAGAAGATGTACGCGTCCCCTGGGTTCGAAAGTGAAATGTTTAGTGACTGTCCCGCGGCATAGATCGTCAGGCACCGTTCGTGTCATCTGTGGACCGGTTAGCTCGGAATTAACGGATGAAGAGTACGTCGATCGGCAGCGTATTTGCTTACCATGAACATGCTGGATGAGATCCGCGGTGGGGGATGATAATGCTAATTCTCTTTGAAGGCAAATCCTAGCAGCAAAGGGACTGACGTGGTGAAGGATGATAGCAAAAGAGGGCAACACACAGAGAAGGAGGGCGCTGGAGATGGAGTAGAAAGATGGGGGAAGTTGCTTTATCCGATGGGGCACGATAAGCCCGAGAAAAGCGGGTGGTTCCAGCCCAATAAGGAAGTTAAATCCTATAGTGCGCAGACTAAGCTTTGGCAAGGCCGGTAGCCAATACCCTGACGCGTGTACCCTTAATCTATCTTCCTGTATTCCCTGCCAGGTGGATCCTGAACACTGAAGAATGATGCAGAGCGTTACGTGACTTGCACCGACCCATATTGTCCCATTCTCCCTCACCACACCAGATCCTTCTCCGTGGGATTTCCGGTGGGTTCATACCACTCCAAACGAGATCTGCAGAGAATACACGAAGTCTAGTATCTACTCCGTCCGGGCATATTAGAACAGTCACCGTTGCTTGAACTAAAGTGTAGAATGCATGAACTATTTTCCGCTTCATTTAGCAACAATCGACACCACATCCTCATCCGACACCACATGTCCCAAGCCCACCCGCTGTGGGATATGGCGTGCACTCGCTCCCCATACCATCGCATACTTGAACGTTTCCTTCAATGTGCGGTGAATGTTGTCGCACACATCCTCGATAGTTGAGTTGCTGCGGCAGATCAATGCCTCGGAGAAGTCGGGCATCTCACCTTTCCTGTAGCATCGTTAGCAGTGCCCCATTCATAGTAGTAGGTGCTTGATCGTGGCTGAACAAACCGTTTCGTGTAGACCCGGATAAGACGGAGTTCCTTCCAGATGCGATCCACGACATCTTCCACACCCAAGTCCAGTTCACAACTCATGACGGCTGTGTGTGGTTCGCGGGCTAGTTGGTCAAGGAAGTCCAGACTGACTCCGTCAATCTTATTGTAGACGTAGAGGCTGTACTCAAATTAGAAGAGTGAAATGCTGATAGACGGATAAAGGTTTACCATCTGATGTATTTACGGTGATCCTTCATAATCACATCAATGAAGTCGTCAATCGTGGCTAGATTGATGTCAGCGACGAGGCATATTCGGACATTGAAGCATAATACATACCATATTCATCACGAACCAAGACTTCGCAGTTGAGCATCTTGTAATCGCGGAGAACATTGTAGATCATCTTCTCATCAAGGTACTTGGGCGGCGTCTGGAAGGTGATCTTCATGCCACCGGCCTTTTTCTGCTTGAGGTAGATGTTCCTACGCCGATTAGCCAAAAGTCTATTTGAACAAGACTCGAAATACTCACGGAGGCTCCTTGTTCAATCTGATGCCTACAGCATCCAATTCCGCCTCCAGCAGTGCTCGTTGCTCTGCACGTTTCGTAGCATCCAAAACCATCAGAACGAGATCACTCGTCTAACCTAGATCAGCCCCGAACGAAATACAGCCTCCAGTAAGAGTGGTAAAACAAACCTTAGCAGCGGAGATAACCTGTCTTCCACGCCCCTTACCCTCAGACGCACCCTCAATGATACCTGGCAGATCAAGAATCTGAATCTCCGCGCCTCCATACTCAAGCACACCAGGGATAGCAGTGAGCGTAGTGAACGCATACGCGGCCGTCTCACTCTTCGTCTTGGTGATCTTGCTCAGGAAGGTAGATTTACCGACGGAGGGGAAACCGACGAGAGCTACACGCGCATCACCACTCTTGCTCACATCGAAACCGACACCACCACCACCGGAGCCACCTGTGGGCTCCAGGAGCTGGGCTCGTAGACGGGCAAGTTTTCTGAGTAACAGTTAGTGCTGGCTCCGCATGGCGGGGTAGACTTGGAAATGAGTTGCATGAGCTCTGCTTACCCCTTCAATAGACCAAGATGGTACTCTATAGTCAAGAGTACATTAGTTCACACAAAATCTGATATCAACTGAGACACCGAATCGCACCTGTGGCCTTGTTCTCTGCAAGTAAGTTAGCATGGCGGGGCTATCAAGAACTTATATGCGACCGAAACACTTACTCTGCGTCCTGCGCATCTCATCTTCGATCCTATAAAGCGAGAACAACGCGTAAGCAATCCATATCCACTAAACAGCACCAAAAGACCTGCGAGATGGGCGACATACTCCTTGATCTTTTCCGTAATGTTCACCATCTTGCCGGTTTAAGAGCCCCGCGGACTCGATTTTCCAGATACAACAAACGACACAACCAGACAACCGAAGCTAGATTTCGCTTACTGCAAAATCTCGTAAGTACCTATCAAACGAGCGAGATATCTCCCCGAAAATCGACGTGATCGCAGCGCAAGAACACGAGCAGCTCTGGTCTGGGGAAATCGTCCTCAAAATCGTCCGCCGCGCCAAGCACCCACCCCGCTTACGTAATTGCCACCTCCGGCGGAATCTTCGAACTTGCCAACTTCAAACATCAACATCCCATCTCTTCCATCAACTTCACCTCACATCATCCCCAATCCCTCCACAAATCACACCAGCCATGGCTGAAGCAACACCCCCAACTGAAACAGTAACCCCTCCTACGGAGGAGGTCGTCGAAGACCAACAACAACTCCAGCAACAACAACAACAACAACAAGAAACCGAAACGACAGAAGAAAGCACCGCCCTAACAACCACTGCCGACGGCACCGTCGAACCTACAAAAAAGACCAAAAAGATAATCAGACGCAAGCGCCGCCCAGCGCGCCCTCAAGTCGACCCAGCGACAATCAAATCAGAGCCCCCACCCCAAGTCGGTACGATCTTCAACATCTGGTACAACAAATGGAGCGGCGGCGACCGCGAGAACTCCTACCTAAGCAAGACAGCCGCACCATCACGATGCAACATCACGCGCGACAGCGGCTACACACGGGCTGACAAAGTTCCCGGGTCATATTTCTGCCTCTTCTTCGCGCGGGGGATATGTCCGCGCGGCGCAGAGTGCGAGTACCTGCACCGTTTACCAACACTGCACGATATATTCAACCCGAACGTGGATTGCTTTGGACGGGACAAGTTCAGTGATTACCGGGATGATATGGGCGGTGTAGGGTCATTTATGAGACAGAACCGCACGTTGTATGTGGGACGGATCCATGTGACGGATTCGATTGAGGAGGTGGTGGCGAGGAATTTCCAGGAATGGGGACAGATCGATCGGATTCGCGTGCTTACGTCTCGGGGTGTTGCATTCGTGACGTATACGAATGAGGCGAATGCGCAGTTTGCGAAGGAGGCCATGGCGCATCAGAGTTTGGATCATAATGAGATTCTGAATGTGAGGTGGGCTACGGTCGATCCGAACCCGTTGGCGCAGAAGCGGGAGGCGAGACGGTTGGAGGAGCAGGCTGCGGAGGCGGTTAGGAGGGCCTTGCCGGCGGAGTTTGTGGCTGAGTTGGAGGGGAGGGATCCAGAGGCCAAGAAGAGGAAGAAGATTGAGGGGAGTTATGGGTTGCAGGGGTATGAGCCGCCGGATGAGGTTTGGTTCTCCCGCGCGAAGGAGTTGGAGGATGCGAATGCGATTGCCCAGTTGGAGGCTCCGGAGCAGCCGCTGATGATTGAGGGTGCGTCGGAGACTGCTGCTGGTGGTGCTGCTCCGCAGGAGGAACAGGCCGGAGGGATCTTCTCCAGCTCTGCTGTTGCGGCGCTGAAGGGCCTGGCTGGGGGTAGTGTTACGACGCAGCAGGCGCCTAAGGCTGCTGGACCTCTGGTGGCGTACGGGAGTGACGATGATAGCGAGTAATTTGGTTGATATTCATTGCATGCATTCTTACGTGTACTATAGCAGAGATACCTGAAAATGTGCTTGACTTGACTGGTCTTCATTTCATCGTTTGGATTCTATGGAATGGCTAATTTCAACGCTTGTTTGCATGGCATAATTGTGGGTATATTCGAAGAGGAGATTCAATCAACAGCAGATACAATAAGAGACACATAACACGTAACATCACACATCATTTCATCTGTCGGCTGCGCTTCCAAGGTCGTAGTATATGCATGACCCTGTGCGGTAGTTGTATATGAAAGCATTGCTGAAACTCTCCATCCCATCTACACGAC